AATTTATTTTAAATATCGCTTTTGACCTTTTTGACTCCAAATTTTTTCATAAATCACAAAAAATATTTTCTATCACATATATTTTTTTCCAGAATTTAAAGGTCATTTTAAACATTTTTTGCTATTTTATTTATATTTTCATTTTAATTTTCTTTTAACAATTTATTTTCAATCATTTTGAAACATTTTTTATTCCAACTTTTGAGATCTTGTAATTTGAAATATTTCTAACTTTCTCAAGTTTTTGTGGCATTTTATTTGATGATTTGATGCCTCTTTGCAATTTTCCTTTTAATTTCCATTTTTAATCAATGTTAAAATTATTTTTATTAATATTTTGATCTATTTTGGTTGGACTCTTGATGACTTTGGATCATGACTTGGTTGATCAGTGTTTCCTCAATTTCAAATGGTCTTTGAATGATGTTTTGATTGATTTAGCTTTCATCATTTCAAACTTATCATTTAAATGATCATTTGATCATTTTTAATACTTTAGATTAATGAGAAATTTATCCCATTGTATTGTGAACTTGAATGGTTGAAATTGATGATAGATGATTCTTTGTTCAAACTTAAGTGTGCTTGATCATCTCTCTCTCTCTTCTCCATCTTCTTCTTTTACTTTTGTTTTGACTTGTGCTACATTGTTTTAGGAGAATAATTTTGTATCATTTCTCTAACATGTATGACACATAAATTGCTATTAATCGGCCTTACATAGGTGTGACTTCTACATAAATTCACTTATGTTAATTTTACTTTTATGAACTTTACATTAATGTCATTTACTTTATGTCATTTAATTTCTAGTCATTTACAATCAAGTCATTTACATTCTTGTCATTTTTTTACTTTTTTCCTTTTTCTTTTTGTTTTCTTTTTCTTTATTGCTTCAAAAGACCAAAAACATTAATAAATGGCTAAAACCATACAAAAAACTATAATCGGGAATGTGTGGACTTTATGTTACTATCCCTTACTTAAGGAGTATTTTGTACATTGGACTTAAGATTAGGCTTTCTCTTTGCTTTGAGTGGTATCTGAGACATTGAAATTCATCTGGACTTTTAATCTTCAAATCAAGACTTGACTTATTTTTTGCTCTTTGTGTGAAGTCTTGAAATTTTCACTGTGGATTTGTGCTTTTGATTTTCATTTGAATCTCTTGGTATTCACATGTGCTTTCTTATCTTGTGACTCAATCCAAAGAGAAATAAATATTTATTTTGATAAATGTCAAATGCTTGCTTCATCTTTTAGTTAGTACACTTGCAAACACAAAGACTTTCTCTTGGACTACCTTACAATGAGACCTTTTTATTTTATGTCATTTACTTTTATGCTTTAGGGTATTCTCTTCATCTTCTTTCCACTTCTTTAATTTTCAAAACTTCTCCCTATTTTTAAAATCTCTTATTTCAAACTTCAAACCTTTCATAATAAATCTTGACTTTGTCAAGTGATCCCGAAAATCTTTTTTTCTTAATAAGTGCTAAAACAATTAAGCATATTCAAACTCTTTTCAAAACTTCTTTAAAAGATAAACCTCGTCGAATTTCTTTTTTGTATCTTTTTGCACTTTTCTTTTAAAACCTTTATTCAAATATTGGATATTAGTCTATTCTATTAGTGATACAAACTACTATACTTCTATAAGGTGTTGTGAAGTGATTGACATTTTTCACTTGAATGTTGAGACATACTTGTTGAGAAAATTCAAATAAAATTCTCCATATCAAGATTATACAAATGTTCTCTCATCATACTTGTGGATAGTAAGTTGAATTTTCCACTCGAATACGACGAAATGTCTTTTCAATAAAAATCAATCAACAAACTTTCATGATTATTTCTATCACAAACTACGAGGCTTTGATTTCCTTATTGCACTCTGATGATACGTAGAAACGGGCTCTCGAAATCTTGACGAGTAAAAACATAATAAAACACTTATTTCCTAATTTTACCAAAATCTTTTTGTAAACAATCTGGTTTTATCATAACACGGATTTTCAAGAGGTTCATATGGAATACCATAGATGTGAGGGTATTAATACCTTCCCCTTGCATAATCAATCTCCGTACATAGATCTCTCTTTTGTTTTATTTTTGCGCGTTGGATTTTCTCGATATTTTCACTTTCCTTTGGAATAAATAAAGTTCGTTGGTGACTTTTATTTTTTCGAGTTAAGTTAATCAATAGCTTAATCTCAATTTTTTTCCGCTGCGACACATAAAACTTTGTTTTAACTTACAACCATATGATATTTTTTCAATAGCTTAGATTTAGCTAACGGTGTGAATTCTGGCTTCCTGAGTGTAGAGGATCATTATGTCTAGTGTGAATACAAAATACATCTTCTGAGCAATTTATGTCAAAAAGGGCGCTTCATTGAAGAATGTATGAGGTGTACACGGAGTTGTTTCAGAGATGCATCTCTGAAATAAATTTAAAAAAAAAAATGGAGTGAGACTCAGATGGGGCGTGTTTGAGTGAGGTGCAATGTCCGTCCAGAGACGTATCACTGGAAACAAAGGGGTCATTTCGAATTTTCATAAGGAATTTTTCTACCATTCAGTGTCGGATTAGGAATTCCCAACAACAAACAGGGCTTGGGATATTTTCAAGAAAACATATGGTGGTGATAACAAATTATAGAAAGTGGAGTTGCAATCTTTGAAGCTCCAATATGAGATACTCGAGATAGATGATCAAGAATCTTTTGTAGGCTTATTTGCCAAGCTAGTGAAATTACCAAATTAGATGAAAATGTGTGGAAAAACAATTAGTTAAGTGATGGAAATTGAGAAGGTACTGTGGATATTTAACTAATTTTGATCATATTCTGGTGGCAATAGAGAAGTCCAAATATTTTGGACATAAGAATGGAAGATCTCCAAGGATCTTTGGAAGCTTGTGAGTTAAGGGCCAAATAGTTTTTTTTGGAGAAGATGGTTGAGCAAGCTCTTTAAGCAAAACACAAGAAGATGAGCAGTAATGAATCAAAGAACAAAGGAAAAAAGAAATGGAAGAAGAAAAATCATACAGAAAGTAATAAAGATTCAAAGAACTCAATTGAAGGAACAAGCAACAATGATGGAAATCAAAAGATTGACAGAAAAAAGTGCAACAAGAATGTAAAATGTTACAATTCTCATAAATTTAGACATTTTGCTAATGAATGCTACTCCAATAAGAATTCAAAGGCAGGTGATAATAATGAAGTGCAATTTTCCTATGCAAGTGTAATGAATCAAATGATGTTTTGTTAATGGGTGCTATCAAATTGGAAAATGATAATTTCAACTTATGGTATCTTAACACAGAGTATTCGAATCATATAATATGAAACAAGGAGTTGTACATGGCATCAAAGATAACCTCATCTAAACTTCAAAATTCTGAGCATGCTAAAGTGAAGAAGATGGTGTATGGCTTGCCTAATGACAAGTAAATTATATTTGCTTTGTAGCAGTTAAAACAATCCTCATGGATTCAATATATAAATTTAATCACCAACTTATACACACTAATTTTCACACCAACATATTTGTTATACATGCAAATGAGAAAGAAACATTGATCATCTGTTGATATGTAGATGATCTGCTAATCATAAGTTCGAGCAACTCAAAATGCAAAAATTTAAGACATGCATGATGCATGGATTTCAAATGTCTAATTCTGGAAATTTATCCTACTTTTTTGGGAATGGAATTCAAGAACACAAGCACAAGAGTTTTCTTGCACTAAAAGAAATATGCAAAAAAAAAGTGTTAAAAGAAATTCAATATGCTCAATTGTAATGTAGTTTGGACACCTATTGAATATGGAGCTAGACTTGGCAAAGAAGATATTGAGGAGCTTGGAATGCCACTTTTTTCAAGCAAATCATAGGGTCACTAAGATACCTTTTCAATACTAGACCTGACCTATACCAAAGTGTTGGTCTAGTGAGCATATTCATAGAGCAACCAAAGGTATCATATTAAGTGATATGTAAAACGTGCCACTGATCATGGAATCCTGCTACCTAACAATAGCAGAGAATTAATGTTTAGTTATTTTGACTCAGATTGGAAGGAGACCAAGATGATAATAAAAAAAAGTACAAATGGATATTTGTTTATGATAGAAAATGCTCCAATCTCTTAATGTACAAAACAACAAGAGATAGTTGCATAATCATCATGTGAAACTAGGTATGTAGTAGTTTCATTTGGAGCATGTCAAGCCTTATTGATAGGAACATTGCTAAATGAATTGAAGATGCCTAGGACATCTAGCATGATATTTGCTTGTAGACAACAAATCAACCATAAATTTAGCCAAAACATCATGTTAGCCATAGCAGGGGAAAGCATATAGAGAGGAAGTTTCACCTTCTTCGTAATCAAGTCAATAAGGAAAAGATTGAATTGCAGTATTTCAATACAAATTTGCAACTTTCAGACATTCTCACTACACTTTTAAAGCAATCAGTTTGATGATTTGAAGGTTTTGATAGGAATGAATTCATCAAGAACTGCGAAGTAAGTCGTGTATTGTGAATAATTCATAAGTTTGAGTCACTTGTTTGTTTCATAAGCAACTGTTAGTCTTGGTTAGTTTGTTACTCGAGGAAGCTACGATGATTACCAAGTTGATAGAGATAGCTTATGCTACAAGTAATCATCATCCTATCTCTTGTAATTATTAATTCTCCTTAATACAACAACAACCCTTCAATTCCTTCATCATCATCAAGAGTCACATTCAATAAATAGATAATTTACCAAAATAACAAAAACTTGGGCTAGCCTAGTTTTCCTCCATAGAGAAATTTGTAGAGAAGAAATGGTTTGTAGTGTGTAAGATCATTGATTGATAATCCTCATACTTGGCTCTTACTATTGAGTATTGACAAACAACATTACATACACTTGTCACCAACAAATCATCAACTCAAATCCAACAGAAATTAAAAAAAAAAAACTCAAAAGAATGATAATAACAACTATTGTATGAAGTAACCACTAAGAAAAAGTGCAAAGAAAAACAACAAAGTACCATAAATAAGCACAGTTTTCTGACCAGAAGTAAGAGAATTTCCACCAAGTCCATACTGTTGATTCTGAGCAAAGCCAGCAATCTCAACACTTTTACTCTCAAAGAAACTCTGCGCCGCGCCGCAAGTAGGACATCTCCAATCCTCCGGAAGCTTCTCGAACTGATAGCCAGGTGGAATGGGATACGAAGGGTCACCTACACCTTCATCGTATTTGTAACCACATGAACGACATTCGTAGATTCCCGTGTTCAACACAGCGAATTTCTCTTCCAACCGAAGCTTTTCGGAGTCGGGTGAAGTTTGTTGTTCTTCGTTTGAGATGTCGGTGGAGTTGATGGTGAATTTTCGAGGGTGAATGGGTTTGAGATTGTTATGGGTTTTGGAGAGGAGGAAGAGGGAGGGATTGGTGAAATGGAGTTTGGGTTTGAGAGGGTGGAGTTGAGAGAAGGGAGTTGAGAGATGGAAGGTGGAAGCCATTGTTAGAGGTTAGTTTTAGCGACGGATGGTGGGATGTAGTGACAGGGAAGATGAACTGAGGAGTAGAGAGTAGAGGATAGTGTATCATTGTAATGTGCCGTTGGGATGGAAACACGCTTGGATAAGGTAACCCACTTTATTTTTATTTTTATTTTTATTTTTATTTTTCTAGTGAAATATTGGTTTTGAATTTGTGTTTTTCTAATGAAAAATACAAAAATTATTGATGTGGGCTTCTAGTGTTGGTTTTGAGATTTTATTTTTCAAATCAGTTTGATCTGGCATCTCCACATGTTTTTGTATGGGCTTAGATGAAATAGCAGGGACTGATCGTGGGATGTCCTGGACATATCTAAACTGACTCATATACTTTTCGAGTAAGTGTTTAGTGATAGATTATGATAAGTGGATGATGATTCCTGATATGGGTTACCCTATTACTTCTAGATACAATATCATATTGATCTTGTTGTTCAAGAACCTTAACATCATATTCTTCCAATTAGTGATAGCTTCATGCATACCTACGAGTAGACACAAAATTATTGCAGTTGGTTTTGTTAACAACAGTCATTGGGTTCAGGTGAAGTTGAAACATAATTGTCCATTGCCTCCCATCATAGACCGATGGAGACAGGACTGTAGTGAAGGTGCAAGAGCATGGGAAACAACATATGCAAGACGTATTAGGCACTAGGAAGAAGTTAGGAAGTCAATATAATTTGTTTTGTATTGGTATTGAAGAATTTTTGCATCATATGTGTATATTTTATCATGTATATTTTGTTAAAACATGTCAAAATTTGAGGTTTTTCAAAACTCATCACTGCCTATCGAATTTTTCAAAATTTCTGAAAAAATTTGGCATGTACTGGATTTTTCAAAATGTCTGATATGTATTATAGGGTTACCAGATTTTTCTAAAAATCGGTATTTCTTCAACCATTTGTTGAAAACCATGCGATTTTACTAACACTTTTGGAAAGTTCCAGTATTTCATCAAAAATCTCAAAAAATCTGGTATTTCATCATATAAACGCAAAAAATCACAAAAGATTCGGTAACACTTTGCAAAATACGATAATTTAAGGCACGCTAAAAAAATCTGAAATTTTTAATAAGGACATAAAAGTAATAACAACCCTCATGTGGGGGTTCTAAGTTAAACTAGGTGGTGGTGGGATATATATATATGTGTGTGTGTGCGCGCGCGCGTGTGTGTGTGCGTGTGGTGTATATATATATATATATATATATATATATATATATATATATATATATATATATATATATATATATATATATATATATATATATATATATATATATATATATATATATATATATATATATATATATATATAGAGAGAGAGAGAGAGAGAGAGAGAATGATACAAGGTTTGTTAAGGAAGTTCACTAATCGTCCTTACGATGGTTACGTCTCCCCCCAATTCCGTTTGGAATTGAGATAAATTTCTTACGATGAAAATATATCGTTTTACAAGAGAGTTGAAGGAATCCAAATCCATAAACTCTAAGTTTATTGTTGAACCTTTCAATGTCTCTCCCCTTGATCTTGAACTGGAACAAGTCTCCCGTTAAAACCAATTGATTCACTATCTCACAATATTCCTTTGCAAGAACCACCATCTTTAAAGCTTTCACTCGATCGAATCCAAATTGTGTGTTACTATGATCCCAAGATTTACCAATGTGATCCACTGTCTCATGCAACTCCTTTGCAAGATCCACCGTCTTCAAAGCTTTCACTCGATCAAATCCACAATTGTGTAATCTTGTCCAAAACCTTGATATCACTATGATCTTGAAGGAAATTACCAGCTCCGTTTTCTTATTGAAATAACCCCCAAATCCACAATGATCTTGGAGAACAAATACTTGGTTATTCGGATGAAAACCCATATGATTCTGAACTCAACCTTAGATTACAACCATTCTAAATTGAACATTATCAACCAAGTCTAGATGGCATCTAAACAATGAATGATTATGTGTACTTTGCTTATGTGTATTCCTAGGTGCAAGGTTGAAGATGATGAGAAATCTTAGTATCTGTTTATAGTTTTATCAAGTTGTAAATGATGCATGTATGAAGTATACATAGGTGTGCAAGTTGGAGGCAAAAGGGAAACCTAGATGTTTGAAAAGGAAAACAATTTTTGAGAAACTCTGACACATATTGTGATACGGTGGGAGAACTGACTTGAGGGTTTTGCGTTTTATCGCAAATGTTGCGGTTAGCAAGAGTCGCCACCGACTTTTCTTTTATCCAAAAGGAAAGGTAAAAAAGCACAGGAAAGACCTTTGAGATTGTTTCTTGAGTTCGTGGGGTAGATTATGAAAAGGGAAGGTATTAACACCCTTTTCATCCATGGTTTTCCATGGGTTCTTAGTTACTTGCTAGATCACTTTCTTTTTGTTTTAAAATTGTGCTTTATGTGGTTTTGAAAGTATTTTGTAAAAGAGGAGATTTGTTTAGGCAATATTTGTAATGATTCTCGTTCGTAAGAATGTATACAAAGATGTTTGTCTTTTTGAAAATGTTTTCATTGTTTGTAAGATGTTTGGAAATGTGTGTGTTTGTTTTGAAAATAGCAAGGATAATTGTTTTGAAATGAAGCAAACAACTAGAAGTAATCTACCTACTCAAAATGTCTTTCTTGTTCATTTTCTTCCTTTGATATTGTTGTCTTACCATTGATTTGGTAAGCAACCCTATCTTTGGATGTAAACGGGACGGGCGTGGATCATCGTATAACCATGATTAGCAATGTTGCAAAGTATCTTGGCATTTTTTTAGGGACTAAGATCATTTTGTAAGGCAACTTTGAATAACGTCATCGAGGGACTATGATCTTATACTTGTTTGTTTTTGCCAAGATACTTCGCATGCGTAATATGGCCATTTTTGTATAAGGCAACCAAGTGGAATAACCCTAAGGGTGCTTGTGTGCAAGTGTGTTATTTTCATGCTTGATTTTTTCTTGGATTAGAGTTTTCTATTTGATTTGTTTTAATCTTGCCATTAAAACCCTAATTACTAGCATGGTATATAAAAGCGGTAAATTGCGTAATTTAAAGGTTACTACGCTATTACAACATTTTATGGGAGGGGGTATACAAATTATGAATGGGGATTTGCAATAATATAAATCTAATTTAATCTATTACAATCAAATCGAATTTGTACGAATACTTAAATAAACAAAATACAATATAAATTAAATGTGCAATGGTATGTATATGCAAGAAAAGATTTTTGTTATGTTTTTCATATAAAGAAGAGTTTTGAATTAAACCTAATAAATTAAAAAAGGAAATTATTTTTATACATTGATTAACCCTAATTTTAGTTTATTAAAAGGAAATAAAGTTCTTTAAATATCATTTTTTGTGTGTATTTTTCTCTTAAAATAATAAATAATATTTATGAAAATATTTGGTCTTTTTATATGTCAAAATAAATATTTACAAGTGTGAAGGAAAAGAAATAAAAATTAACCTAAATCTATTTTATTTTACAAGTTTATTTAAGAAAGGATAGTTAATATATAATTTAATAAAAAAATATTTTTTCATGAGAAAATAAAATAAAGTGAGCAATTAACATTTTGATATTTTTTATGATTTTATAATATTTAAGAAAAATATTTAATGAGGTAAACAAAAATAAAATAAATGAATGAAATTAAATTGGGCCAGGGGTGCTGTAAGAGAAAAGGAAGGTAAGTGTTAGAAAAAAAATGAGAGGCGCATAAGCTGAGCCCACGCTGTCAAAAATGTCAAAAATGAAGCTGAAAAATGAGAAAAATGCAAAAGGTAGCGCCAAGGTTCGAACCCATGACCTATGCATTTTCAGCGTGCTACCTTGCCACTTGGGTGGCTGTACATCCGTTAGTTCATATGAAACAAAAAATACATAACACATAATGCCTCCTTGCCCTGTACTTCATCTTCTTCCTCAAGCTAGGCAGAACCTCTGTATCTTTCTCATTTCTCCATGAAAATGGAAACTTCAAACATGAAAATGGTAGTACTTTTTCCCACGATTTCAACCATGTAACTCATGTAAACTATCAGTCAAAGATCAAAGCTAATTTCAATGGCCCTAATTTTAAACCTAACTTTTACAGAAATTTGAAATCTAAAATTCTCTATACATAATGAACATAAATGAAATCTATGCACATGGTTGGCTTTAGCACAATAATATCTACATTTTCCTTTCACAAATCGAGACCAATGGATGTCTGTATGAAGAGATAGAAGTTAGAGTTCTTACCTCCTTCAGTTGAGATCGTGAATGGAGTTTGAGTAAGTTTTATGAAGGCCTGAAGATTCCTTTAGCTTGCCTGAACCTCCCTGACTGTGTTCCAATCCTTGCCTTGCTTTGGAAGTGCCTGAATCTCTATATCCAAGTCAACCTGTAAGCTTGAAATGCAAAAATGGAAGATGGAGAAGGAGGAGTTACAGTGAAAGGGTGATGGTCTGGAACACTTAGATATGAGGTAGGTTAAGTGTTTGAGTGATTAGAACTTGAAACACACGAGTAGATTTCTGGATTGCTATGCTTGGTCTCAAACTACAAGTTATGACAAGTTTTTGGTGATAGGGAGTTTTAGAGAGTTTCTGGCCTTGAGCAATCGTCCGTTAGGTTGCAATGTGTTTGTGTATAAGTATAGAGAAGGTTTCAAATCAATTCTTCAACAGATTTTTGAGTTATAGGCTTTTTGCTCTATTGCTTGCCTTTTAAGAAAAGTGAAGAGACCACTCTCTACATGCTTGTACAGGCCTGCTTGGAGTTGGTACAAGTCCTAGACAATTTTCTTTTGGTTTATAGGACTTGTGTGTGCAGAAAAACAGATGCAAGGCTCAAGGAGTGAAAAGTTGCAAAAATTATGCTTTTCTAAAATGGCAATGGCAACTTTGTGCCATTTATGGAATTAAAGCTTGGACAAAGACTCTTGTGCTTGGATTAA